CCTTAGACTAGGAATAGCTAAGAGCTTGTTATAAAATGATTTGGCCTTATATTAAGAATGATTTAAGAGCATGGTTGAGATATTGAATATCAAATGACTTGAAATAAAATATTGAGAATATCATGAATGTTTGAATCATATATTGTGTGCATGATATCAAATGGTTGATTATGAATTGAGATTCAATTTATTTGGATGTTCGATGCTTTAGATATGCTTACTCAGCTTCACCGCTGAGCGTGTACTGTGTTTTATTTGCTACACGCAGGTAGGTAGAATGAATGATTGGCTGATTCCTGGCAGCAGAAGGGGCGAGACAGTCGTGGTGGATCATTGAACAAAATAAATAATTATGTTGTTATGAAACATGTTAAAAGTCGCTTCCGCATTATTATTAAACACTCCGCATTTTCTACAATTATGTATGGAATATTATTTATAAATAAAAATGTTTGAAATGTTTTAAATTATCACGATTACCAAATCAATACTTTAGTCTGTAAGGGGCTGCAGACCTGGACGGATTAGGGTGTTACACATCTCACCTCGTCACCTGTGCATAAAATTCCCAACCCCCTTTGGAGTTGGAATTGCCAGGGGATCTCAGAGAGTGTCCCGGGCATGGTATTTGAAGGCAACCAAACAGCCGGTCAAGTACAATACCCAAGTGGGAGAAGTGACTGCGCAGCTCCTGAGGGCTGAGGAAAAACGTCCCAGAGTAGAAGTTGCTGGCGACATTGAAGAAGTGGAATTGGAGCTAGGCACGCCGGGAAGGTTGGTCAGGATTGGCAAGGGCCTGGGGGCTGAACTCAGATCACGAGTGATTTCAGTCCTTAGAAGGTTTAGGAGGGTCTTTGCATGGAGTCCAGCTGATATGCCAGGGCTGGATCACAAGATTGCAGTTCATCGCCTAAATGTCCTGCGGGATGCTAAACCAGTGAAGTAGAAACGGAGGCATTTGTCGCAGGAAAGAAGAGATTTCGTGAAGAAGGAGGTAGCAACCTTGTAGAGAATCGGGCACATCCGGGAGGTGCAATACCCGGATTGGTTGGCAAATGTAGTACTGGCGCCTAAGCCCCTTTCGTGGAGGATGTGCGTCGACTACACAGACTTGAATAAGGCATGTCCCATGGATCCGTTTCCTCTCCCCAACATTGATCAGATGGTGGATGAGACTGCCGGGTCAGAGTTAATGAGCTTCATGGACGCTTTCAGTGGCTACCATCGGATTCGGATGCATCCGGCCGATACTGAAAAGACAAGGTTTATGACCCCAGAAGGGCTGTACTGTTACTTGGTGATGGCCTTTGGGCTGAGAAATTCCGGGGCAACATATACCCGGATGGTTTCTCAGGTGTTCAAGGCTATCTTAGGGCGGACCATGGAAGCATATGTTGATGATATGATTGTCAATTCCAAAGAGGCCCGAGACCATGTCCGGGACCTTGAGGAGGTCTTTGAAATCATGGTCAAAGTAAATCTGAGATTGAATCCGAAGAAATGTACTTTTGTTGTTCAGGGTGGAAAATTCCTTGGGCACATGGTTAGCCAGAAAGGAATTGAGGCAAACCCGGAGAAAGTAAGAGCCATTATGGAGATGGAACCCCCGGAGACAGCAAAGGAAGTTCAGCGGCTAACAGGGAGATTGGCGGCCTTGAATCGTTTCCTTTCGAAGTTGGCAGAGAAGGCGCACCCATTCTTTGCGGTGATCAAGAAGAGAGCAGCCTTCCAATGGACACAGGAATGCCAAGAAGCATTCGAAGAACTAAAGAGATATCTCTCAAGCCCATCGGTTTTGTCTAAACCGGAACCTGGAGATGTTTTGACTCTATACTTGGCAATTGCAGATTGTGCTATAAGTACTGTGATCGTAAGGGAAGAGCACGGGGCCCAACATCCGATCTACTACATCAGCAAAACCCTGAGAGATGCGGAGTTAAGGTATTCCCGTCCGGAAAAAGCCATGTTGGCGGTCTTCTGGACAGCGAAGAGATTAACTCCGTACTTTCAGGCTCACCGGATTGTTGTGCTCACGAATGAGCCTTTGGCGTCACTTACCCGAAGACCCGCGGCATCTGCCCGGATGACCAAGTGGGCAGTCTTCATCAGTCAGTATAACGTGGAGTTCAGGCCGCGCCCATCCATCAAGGGGCAAGCACTCGCCGACTTTCAAGTTGAGTGCACCGCTAGAGAAATGACAAGAGCCCAGGTTGAAACCCGGGTGGAAAAGGACTGGTGGGTAATGAGCATTGATGGATCTTCTCGGTCTTGATCTTGCGAAGCAGGGATCATCTTGATCACCCCAGAAACATTCCGGATTTATTACGCCATCAGATTTCAGTTCCGCGTATCCAACAATGAAGCTGTGTAACACCCTAATCCGTCCAGGTCTGCAGCCCCTTTCGGACAAAGTATTAACTTGGTAATCGTAAAAATTTAAAACATTTCAAACACTTTTATTTGTCATAATAATATTTTTCATAATATAAACAGTACGGAGTTTTCAATATTGCGGAAGCTTAACGAATCATAATTACAAACATAATTTATTTATGTTCTTTAATTCAAAACATCACACCCATTCCGACAGTCTCGCCTCCGTCCGCCTCCAGGATCACGTCACATCATTCTTTCTATTAACCTGCGTGTAGCAAATAAAACATACTACACGCTCAGCGGTAAAGATGAGTAAGCATATCTAATGCGTCGAACATCCATATAAATTGTATCTTAATTCACAATCAAATCATTTGATATCATGCACATAATGTTCAGTTCAGATATTCAATAATCAATATTTGATTTTCGACATTCATTATTCAATCGTTCAACATGTATGTTCTTCATTTGTCATTCAACAATATCCTTAAACTATTCTTAGTCTAAGGCCAATCATTTTAATATTTGTAACCCTTAAATGAATTCTAGCTTAACTAATTAAACTATATTCCAGTATACAGAGTACTCCTAATAATCCTTAAGCTAGGCCTAGTTTAAGATAAAAGGGTTTTGGAAATCTTAAACTTACCTTCACTTAAGGCCAACCAAAAACCGACAGCGTAGTGTTCAGTGTTGGGTGGGTGGTACCCCCAAACGAGTAGGTACTCAAGTTTGGTTCTTGGATCCCGTACGTACGTTTTAACCCTAGCCACCGGGGTTCATACCCGCAAGGCCTAACTTAAATAGGTATATCTTAGAGTTCTTCTAGATACCTTTCAAATCAACATTAATATGGGTATATCTTAGAGTTTTTCTAGATACCTTTCAAATCAACATTAATATGGGTATATCTTAGAGTTTTTCTAGATACCTTTCAAATCAACATTAATATGGGTATATCTTAGAGTTTTTCTAGATACCTTTCAAATCAACATTAATATGGGTATATCTTAGAGTTTTTCTAGATACCTTTCAAATCAACATTAATATGGGTATATCTTAGAGGTCTTCTAGATACCCTTGACAATACATATTATTTTCACAATCATCAATATATTCATTATGATTTAATCATTCATAATTACCATTTTTAATCAAAACATTTATAATGATTTAATCATCATAATCACCAACTAATAATCATTACCATAATCATTCATCAATTCAATAACAATTTGCGGCCTAGTTTCGGGTGTTAACACCCTAACTTACCGTCATGCATCACATAACATTTTATTTGTTAAAAATATTACTTTTAATGTGAAAAATCATTTTTATAATGATCATAACCAATTGTTATCAAACATAGGATTTTAGAGCTCAAAAATAACATTTTCAGACAAATTTTCGGATCAGAAATTCAGGGGATCGATCCATATGTAGAGGAATTATGCCCAGGTGATCGATCCACCCATTTGGATCGATCCAGACAGCCTGGTTTTTGGTTACTGTTCATCTTCTTCTTCGTTCGGGTCCAATTTCGAAAATATCGTTTTTAGTTACCGAACTTCAACAAAACTATATAGAGATGTTCTCCAAGGTTCATAGATCATTTTGGCATCTTTAATTCATAGTTTTAACATCAATTTAATGGTTTATGATTCTTGGTTCTTCAAGCATGTCAAACACAAAACTCAACCAAACGACCGTTTATGAACGTAGAAACGATCTATATGAACATTCTAGTCACTCGATATATCTACGGGCTTACCTCGAAGCTTATCGAAGGTTTTGAGAATTTTCCGGCGAAACTTCCGGCGAGGATTGTAGCTTGCTCCGGCGACTTCACACCAAATTGACAGCACAACTTCGTTCTCCACACTCACAGCTTTCTCTCAGAGTTTATTTGAAGGAAAATGGTGAAGAAATGGTGAAGTTTGGAGGGGTTTAAATAGGGAGTAATGGAATGAAGACATGGTTGATGACTCCCTCTGCTACTGTTGTGGCGTCTCAGTGGAGGGAGCGGCGATTTCTACGGGCTACAAACGTAAGTCCCTGATTGGGACTAATTTGGTCCCAGTCGGGGAACACTTTTTGGTCCAACTTTCTCCGAATTGAAATCTGTTTGCACCGTTGTGGTCGTACATTTAAACTCTATCCAACGATATAATTTTTATATTGATTTGTAATACTTTTTCCGACATCATATTTTTGGGTGGTTGACTTTGACAGAGTCAAAATTGATTTAATTGACCTTTACTAAAAAAGGTTCTTACATTTCATTCATATTATTTATTCTCATGATTTATTTCAATAAATCATTTCAAAGTTCATATCATAAATAAATTTCTTAATTTATCCTTGATTTGGGTCTGTACTCAGGTTCTCAATCAAGGTCACACAGTAAGTCAACATATTGGATTAATCTCTATGAGATTTATCCGGATCATGATATTGGATATCAAAACATATTTTATTTTGGCCCAAGGCCCAACAACAATTTATTTTTAATCAAAACAAATTTGATTAATTAATTAATAATTCATTAATAATTCTAGGGTATGTTTTGGGGCGTTACAAGCTGAATATGAGGCCCTAATCAACGGATTGAAGATTCTTAGTAAGATGGGAGTGTCCAGGGTTCAGGTTTACAGCGACTCCCGATTAGTGGTGGGACAAATCACAGGGGAGTTTGAAGCAAAGGAAGAAAGGATGAAGAGGTATCGGGACTTGTCTTTAGAGATGTTGGGGAGGTTTGAGTTTAAGCTTGAACATATACCCCGGGCCCAGAACGCAGAAGCCGACGTTCTATCCAAGCTCAGCGCAGAGTCACCGGAATACATAAGCAAATTAGCAACCGTCGAGGAACTGGTAACTCCGAGTCTTAACAGCAATGAGGTGATCTGGGTATCAGCTGATCCCCCGAAATGGCTGGACCGGTTGGCCAAATACATTGAGGACGGTGAAGCCCCAGAAAATCCTAAAGAAGCACGTCTGTTGCGAATGGGGGCACCTACCTACAAGGTACAGGATGGAGTCCTCTATAAGCGATCTTACAACGGTGTTTTACTCCGTTGCCTCAGGGCAGCAGAGGCAAAGGCACTAATGGAAGAAATACATGAAGGAGTATGTGCTGCACATCGGGGTCCTTACTCCATTTCCAGAAGGGCTATTATCCAGGGATACTTCTGGCCAACGATGAGGAAGGATTGCGAAGAGTATGTACGCAAGTGCCCGACCTGCCAACAATTCCAGAATATACCCGGGAGGCCGGCCACGAATTACACGCCCATCATCTCTGTGATTCCCTTCTCAAGATGGGGGATTGATATTGTGGAAGCCCTGCCAAAAGGAGCTGGGCAGGCAAGGTGGATTGTGGTGGCGATAGACTATTTCACAAAGTGGGTAGAAGCTAAGCCACTTGCCGGGATTACCGGAAGGCAGATGATCGACTTTGTCGGAACGAATATACTCTGCAGGTTTGGGGTCCCGAGGCAGATCATATCTGACAATGGAACGCAGTTTGAGGAAGCAGAGTTTCAAGACTTCCTCAAAACTTGGAGAATTCAGCACACAAAGGTGTCTGTTGCGTACCCTCAGGCTAATGGACAAGTGGAGAACGCCAACAGAACAATCATACACGGAATAAAGAAGAAGCTACTTTCAGAAGGAAGCAAATGGGTAGATGAACTACCCAGAATCTTGTGGACATACAGGACGACTCCAAGGAGAACCATGGGTGACACTCCTTTCGGCTTAGCTTATGGTTTTGAAGCCCGGGCTCCCGCTGAGGTAGTAATCCCCACCAGGAGAGAAATGGAATATGACCCGGAGGTGAACGAACAGAATCAGGCCGTAGAGCTGAATTTCGTAGAAGAACGAAGGGATGAAGCACGGATCCGGGCAGAGAATTATCGTCGCCAGGTGAAATCTTACTTTGATAGCAAGGTGACACCAAGGGCGTTCCAGTTGGGGGATTACGTTCTGAGGAAAAGAGAGAAAAGTCAACCAACTAAGGGTGAGAAGTTGGCTAAGAAGTATGAATGACCTTATATCATCAAGGCCGTTGTTCGCCCAGGTACCTACAAGTTGGTGACTCCCAAGGGGAAAGAAATTGATAGGACATGGAATGTAGAGCACTTGGTCAAATTTTATCAGTGAAATCATTTTGTAAAAACGCTCTATTTTTAATTTAAGATGTTTGTTTCAGTAAAATTTTTCTTTTTCTTTTAAAGCCAAGTGCCTTTGCAATTTCATTGTTCTATAGATTTCTTTAAAAATAAATAAAGGGGGGGGAAGCACCCCCGGGCGATATAGACCCGCATTACAGGGAGGTAGAAAAGTTTATGCCACCTGCTAAAAATAGGGGAGGTAGATAAGTTTATGCCCCTCCGGAGGTAGAGAAGTTTATGCCTACGTCGAAAATGAAGGAAGGGTTGGGATTGGACTTTAAGGGCCATTACAACCTGGAATTCAGGAAGAATAGCAAGCAGACTTCGAGGGCTGAAGCTTAGTATTCCACTAGCATAGATCAACCGAGCAAACAAACTTCGAGGGTTGGAGCTCAACTCATCCAAGGTAGATAAGATTATGCCTTAACCCGGAGGAAGGGGGGCAGGGGCAGATGAGATAAGTGCCCCTGGCATGCCCAAACCCCGAGAGATGAGATTTTATATAGAAAATAAATTATGTACTTGCATTCGAAGAGGTGCAAAGAAATGACTATTAAGGACCATATTAATGGGCCAAAGTTTACATTTTTTGGTTCACAATAAAGGTTCCTAGTAAAATAAACAAGAAAAGAAATTAAGGGAGTTCATCGATTGCTAATTCGGAGGTTATATCTTTGAATTACAGCGATGATTCCTACTTTGAAATTAAGGAACATTCCTTAGTTTGGATGTAGGGAAGATCCCTGGACCAAACAAGTGAATGCCCCTTGATATAAAACAAAGAAGAGAAGTTTGATTTGCAGGAGGCTAGGAACTGAAGGAGGGCCTATTGCATCCATGCAGTCAACAAGAAGGAGGTGGGGAACCCTTCCATGGGCTCCTTCTCTTTGACGAGGGACACGTTGATGAATCAGCAGTTTCCCATATGTCATAGTCTTCCCATGTCCCAGGACGGGGAGCTCCTCCCTTCAATGAAGAACCATTGTTGGAAGACTTCAGCAGGTGTGGGGAAGCAGTTCGGCTTTCACATGAAGGTTCCACCTCGACAATTGGCAAAGAGCGTCTGAGTTTAGCCCTGCACATCCACTGGTACAAGGCAAAGTCTTGGAGGGTCAAAGAGTCCCAGTCTATCCTCCCGGATGGAAGCCTGGGTGGACTAGGAGGGGATGGTGCAGGAAGGCGAGGCGCCGGGTAGAGTCTTGAGAACTCGCCAGGACTCAACCCGGCCATGTCGTTGGATTGGGCTAGAGAGACGGAGAAATCATCATCCGAAGAAGAAGATGTCCCAAAGAGGGTTAAGTCGATGACGACTTTACTCTCAGACTTACTTGCCATGGCGGAGAAGTCAAAAAGGGATGGACTGGCAGCTAATTGTCCTTTCCCATTTATAGTCAAAGGGGAAGGGATAGTTGGGAAGTGATGAATGCGGTTGGAAGACGTGAAAGACTAAGCGATTGGCGAAGGAAGCGGTCGAAGATTTCCCATGTTTGACTAGGGGTTCCTCGCCACTTAAGTGCATGGGCTAGTTAATTGGGCCCATCTGTGCTTGCGAAAAGACGTCATCCTTGGAAGGTAAGGAGCTAAATAAACTTAGACTTCTACTCCATGCAGATGACGCCACGTGCAATAAAATAATATTAAATGACAGGAGATAAAGGTTTTTGCATTAAATAGCTCAAACAGAAGATTACATTCTTTTGGGTTACAGTAATGGGCCTTATCCCTGATCAAACAACAAAACAAAAAAGAGACAGGAGATAAAGACTTTCATTAAATAACTCAAATGGAAGGTTACATTCTTTTGGGTTACAGTAATGAACTTTGTCCCTGATCTACTTCTATCCTACCACTGGAAAAAGTTGAAGGCAAGGCGAATTGGCACTTCCGAAATCTAGAGGAGTGCGTTTGCTGAGCATTGTTCCTCTGCCTGAAACAGAAAAGAACCCCTGAGCAGGGAGGTCTGGAGAGTGTCCGCCGAAGACACTTCATGACATTCACAAGAAGCGGAATGGTACCAACGGGTTGGGGATTAAAAGCCATCCCCGTGGATACCATCCAGTCATTCCCATGAAGGCGGACAGAGAGGGCGCTAGGGCATGAGCGAAGGACTCCAGGCCTATCTCCGCTTATGTTGGGAAAAATATTATAGATTTTGATGATGATGTATTTAGAATGTAATAGGGACTTTAGGTCTCCCCAAATAATCAATTTAATTTTTTCCTTTTAGAAATATTGTTAAAACCAAGTTCTTGAGATTTCCAATAAAGTCGCGATATTTCTTTAAGCGGTTTGATGCCTGAAGACTTAATCAAATTCAGTAATTTGGAAATTGGATATCTTGATCGGAAATGTCAGAGACAAGTAAGGATTTCTCAAAGCAGACGAAAATCCTCCTATCCTGAAGACTACATGAGAACCGAATGTCTCGCTACAACCCGTTGAACTCTAAGTCGGAAGACTAGCGCGGATTTCTTTCTCACCTGGAAGACTGAGTATGACTCTTCCGGATTTGTCAGCTAAGAACCGGATGCCTCAAGGAAGACCGGAATTCTCAAAAGGTGGACAAGTGAGAAAAGACTTTGAAAATTATCTAAGTCTTAAATGAAGAAATTCTACCCGTTGGTAAGGAAAAATCAATCTCTTGATTTTCAACGGCTAGATTGAAGATAATTATGCTGATTCAAGAACAAATGACTCGAGGACAAAGTCTGGACCTCTAAAAATTGAAGAACCTGTCCAGAATTCCTAAACAAGCACTAGAAGACAAACAGAGTAAAGTGCTACAGTCCAGAATTCTTGAACAACAGCTAGAAGACGGATTCTATGGAAAAAGGAATCCCTCCTTAAACAATTGGGTATGTCCAAACACCCATTCCAATAAGGAATCTTCAAATCACAATCTTCATTCAAAATTGAAGCCAGCAAATGTAACGGATAGTCTATTTTGATTCAACGGATAGATTATCCAATCCAGCTATAAATAGCATCCTTGGAAGACTAGGGAAGAAAAGAACAACGACAACGATAAGATAAACAACCACAACAAGGCTACCTCATTCACAGTTAGCCCAAAAAGCTTGATAAAGAGAGATTTCTTAACTCCTTATCCAGAAGCAAACTTCTCCTCCTTCCAAAGAGCTATAGTGAAAATACTTGAAGGTTTCCTTGCCTCAAGTACCACACCACGTTGAAGGATACAACTTTTGATCAAACTTATTGATTGAAAGGGGGTAGGTCAACTTTCTTACAAGTTGGTCTTGCAAGTCCTATTGTTTGGACCTTGCAGTTGTTGAAGAAGCGTGACCTTCGAAGGAACAACAAAGCCAGCATGAGTGCAGTAGCAACATTGGCCTTGCGAAGATATACCGTGCAGAAATTCACACAAGTGTAATTGTTGGTTCATTATTCAACAACCAACTACATAGTGGATTTTGAGGACGTAGAAGGATTAGACCACCTTCGAACCTCGTTAAAGTTCGCGTGTCTCTCTCTTTTATCTTTATTCTTACTTGCAATTATATTAACTGTGAAAACTAACCCATCCATATTGATTACTGCTCACTCTACCCACCAACTTCCGCACACAATCTAAAGTTCACAAGAACTCTAGATTAACACTCATTTTCACATTTTCAAAAGAAACGAAAAAGTTTTAAATTTGTAACAAAGTCTATTCACCCCCCCCCCCTCTAGACTTTATATCTCACCACTTCGGGACCACCAGCTTATACGGGAGGAGGAGGCGGATCCCCGAAGGTCCATCCTTTTCCCTGCGTATGAATGGGAGCCTGTTTCCCCCCATGTCGTAGTCCCCCCACTCCTCAGGCTGCTGTGCATATGACTGCTGAGGAAGGGGAGAACCCTGGGAGGAAGGCATCGCACCAGAGACCAGCCGGGAAGCTCCTGAGTGGGGATTGCGTCTCTTTTGCGGACGAGACGTGCCAGGACAGCCGGAAGAGACTTCCGTCCTGGCACCGTTAGGAAGCACACCGGAACCCGGAGGAATATCCCTTGATTCCTGTTGGGGAAGATGAGGATGATTCTCCTCCTTGGGTAAGGGAGAAGTCACTGATTGTTCTGAGGTAAGAGAAGGCCCAGAAGAGAGCTCAGGCGTTGGGGCCCCGAGTGAAGGGAATGCCAACGAGGAAGAATCAGAAGAAGAATCGGAAATAGTGAGATCAATAAAGACGACTCTGTTTGCGTTATTAGCCATGTTGAGTAATTGATTGTGATGGTGAAAGGGTTCAGCCTAGTCCCTTAAATAGGCGAGTAATCCCAGAGGAGAAAGTGCAAGGGACGCGGAGTCAAAGTGCTTATCCGATTGGGAAGCAGTTGCGGATTCCCGAGGAGAGCTAGGGTTGCGTCATCTTATTATTGGGCTAGGGTGAATTGGGCCCGGCGTAATTAAGGTGGGCCTGTCACTTAGCGCAATGGTAAACAAGAAGAACAGAACTTTGCGAATGCAGTTAAGCCCAAAGCCTAGGCGGATAAAAAAAATCTGCTAAGTCCTAGGGCGAAACAAGAGTTCCAAAAGGGAAACAATCAGATCAATAGAAGGAGTCTATGCGGACAAAATACATCAAGTGTTATCAATTAACTACCATCTAAATGTTACAAAGAAAAATACAACATGCGACAGAGAAGGATAAAGTCAAAGCCCCGGATCTGCACGAGAAGCTGGGGGGGAAAGAGGAAGAGGTAACCTATAGTAAGAGATGAAGTTGTCCAAGGATCGGTTTTCCAGGAGACCACTCTGAACTGCCTCGTAGATGCATTGTTGCATCAGCGCGGGCAGTCAGAGTGGCAACCTCCTCTTGATGGGCAGCAGTTGTCTTCTCCAGTTCATCCATCTTTAACCGGAGCTCGCTTGCAGTCTGTCTCTCTTCCTTTAGTTTCTCAAGGGTAAGCCGTCGCGCTTCCATCTGTTTCAGTGCGAATTCTTTGGAACGGGAACTC